CCACGCCTCAGCATGCCAGAGAATCAAAGAATGTCCACTGATCTCTTCCTTTACAGTAACTAGAACATAAAACACACACACACACACATCTAATCCGGCTTCAGATTTAGGCGCGTACAAACAATAGGTTGCTCGATCCAGTCTTTTTTTTTTCAGATCAGTGCCGTTGCCGTGTAAGGAATCGAAACGTTCGGGAGCATCAGAGCTCGAGTGCGCCGCTGTTCGAAGATTGTTAAAGTACGGCCCTTGTTCGCTGCTGCAGAAGCATGAGGTCAGTGTTTACTGTTGACATAAGAAATCATTACTGGTGTTCCGTATAGCAGAGCAATTTTGGTAATCTGACACCTTGAGAACGGTAAAGATCGACTCAGAACATAGTACACGCTATTAGGAATGTTTTTGGAAGTAATTCTTAAAAATAGGAACGAAATTTATAGATATTAGCGGAAGAGAAGGGTATTACGTTGTCACTCGAAAGCGAGATTTTCGAAAAATTTATTGTCGTTTTGTCGCCTCATTTTACCAAAAATAATCTTTCTCTTCTTTGCTAAGCATTTCAGAGAGAGAGAGAGAGAGAGAATCAGAAAATAAGGTGAACAATTAAAATCAAACACTGATTACAGAGATTCGATGGAGACTATCATTCTCATTTCAAACAACGGGAACTACTTACGTCTTCCCCTACCAAGGTAAAGGTTGGTTAGAGGAGGGAAAGGGAAGGGCGGAGGGCGTGTCTTTTTCGGTCACGAGTATAAAAGCCAACAACTCGATGTCCTGAGTATCACACTCGATCTACCTCCACCATCATGTTCACCAAGGTGAGAATCTCTTATCCTTTTCATACTGCATAATGTTTACCGCCAAAAGGCTAATATAATAGTTTACACACACATACACATGCATGTACTATATTACGTTAGTAATTCTTTTCAAAACTTTAAAATTTGTGTCTAATTTCAGGCCGTCGTCACTCTCGCCCTTGTGGCCGTTACTTTGGCTGCTCCTTCACAGCCTTCCTACGGTTATGCTCCTCCTGCAACCTACGACGTAAGAAAAACTTTCCTATACTGGAAATCTTATACATATATTTCATCAAAATACACATCGTTGTTAATGTTCTTATATGATACATATTATTTTCACCTTTCTTTAGGCTCCTGCCAAGTATGACTTCAACTATGCAGTGAAGGACGACTACTCCGGCAACGACTTCGGTCACCAGGAGGCCCGTGATGGCTACGATACTCAGGGTTCTTACTACGTTCTCCTTCCCGACGGTCGTCTGCAGAAGGTCGCCTACACTGTCAACGGCGACTCTGGCTACGTGGCCGAGGTCAGCTACGAGGGTGAGGCCCAGTACCCCGAGTACAAGCCTGCTCCTGCCTATAAGCCCGCCCCCGCTTACAACCCTGCTCCTGCCTACAAGCCCGCCCCCGCTTACAACCCTGCTCCTGCCTACAAGCCCGCCCCCGCTTACAACCCTGCTCCTGTCTATGCTTAAATGAAACAAACATGAATATCCTTATGGTTACTATTTATTGATTAAACGAAAATTCTATCACCATTCATTTGTATTATCTAACCTAAAATATTGCGAGGTTACATATATAAGCTAAACAGCAAACCATTTCAAATATTTACAGTTGTGAAGTTATATTCAGTCTCCAACATCGACCCGTATTTGAGCACAAGGAATGGGCGATTTTCTGACCTGCCCTTGACACTACAAATCCATTTAGCTCGTCATTTAGAAATAGGAAAATAGGTGCAGGCAGACATAGTTTAAAATGTCTTCTGAAATCTTAAATATATAAATTGCTGCTAAATGTGACTAGAGGCTTCTAAGTGAAAGCAAAAGCGAAAAAATGTAAAACTCATCATAGCACAAACATCTGTACGTACAGGTGTGAACATAATGATTCCCATATTGGTTCCGTTTCCCAACGCACTAACAAATATTGTGGATTGTTTGAAGTAATTCCAAAAGTTGTTTATAACAATAGCTATATACAGACTACTATAGCTATCCTCACTGAGATGCGTGCACGAAGAAACAACCATGGACTTAAGTTACGTACGTTCCTAAGCGACTTTCCGCCGGCATGTTCGTCTCGGCGCGTATTTTGCCATTTCGCTCTTCGACACACACGTCACTTATGCGAAATTTCATTTTTAGCATTATCGTTATTATCATGATTATCAACATCATTGAGCAGCATCCCATTATTTTAACCACCTCACTCCCATTCACGGATATGTCATTGGTAAGTCATTGTCATTCTTATTATTATCATATTATTATTATCATTATGATAATTATAGCATCAGTAACGATGATACTGATAAGAATGACTATAATAATAGTAATAATGATAATAAAAATCATAACATAATAATAATGATATAATATATAATAATAATATCGATAAGAAGAATAGCAATAATAAAAAGAATGTTGATATCAATAATAATAATAATAATAATAATAATAATAATAATAATAATAATAATAATAATAATAATAATAATAATAATAATAATAATAATAATAATAATAATAATAATAATAATAATAATAATAATAATAATAATAATAATAATAATAATAATAATAATAATAATAATAATAATAATAATAATAATAATATCGATAAGAAGAAGAATAGCAATAATAAAAAGAATGTTGATATCAATAATAATAATAATATCGATAAGAAGAAGAATAGCAATAATAAAAAGAATGTTGATATCAATAATAATAATAATAATAATAATAATAATAATAATAATAATATCGATAAGAAGAATAGCAATAATAAAAAGAATGTTGATATCAATAATAATAATAATAATAATAATAATAATAATATCGATAAGAAGAAGAATAGCAATAATAAAAAGAATGTTGATATCAATAATAATAATAATAATATCGATAAGAAGAATAGCAATAATAAAAAGAATGTTGATATCAATAATAATAATAATATCGATAAGAAGAAGAATAGCAATAATAAAAAGAATGTTGATATCAATAATAATAATAATAATAATAATAATATCGATAAGAAGAAGAATAGCAATAATAAAAAGAATGTTGATATCAATAATAATAATAATATCGATAAGAAGAATAGCAATAATAAAAAGAATGTTGATATCAATAATAATAATAATAATAATAATAATAATAATAATAATAATAATAATATCGATAAGAAGAAGAATAGCAATAATAAAAAGAATGTTGATATCAATAATAATAATAATAATAATAATAATAATAATAATATCGATAAGAAGAATAGCAATAATAAAAAGAATGTTGATATCAATAATAATAATAATAATAATAATAATAATAATAATAATATCGATAAGAAGAAGAATAGCAATAATAAAAAGAATGTTGATATCAATAATAATAATAATAATAATAATAATAATAATAATATCGATAAGAAGAATAGCAATAATAAAAAGAATGTTGATATCAATAATAATAATAATAATAATAATAATAATAATAATAATAATAATATCGATAAGAAGAAGAATAGCAATAATAAAAAGAATGTTGATATCAATAATAATAATAATATCGATAAGAAGAATAGCAATAATAAAAAGAATGTTGATATCAATAATAATAATAATAATAATAATAATAATAATAATAATAATAATAATAATAATAATAATAATAATAATAATAATAATAATAATAATAATAATAATAATAATAATAATAATAATAATAATAATAATAATAATAATAATAATAATAATAATAATAATAATAATAATAATAATAATAATAATAATAATAATAATAATAATAATAATAATAATGATCGATAAGAAGAATAGCAATAATAAAAAGAATGTTGATAACAATAATAATAATAATAACAATAAGAATAATAATAATAATAATAATAATAATAATAATAATAATAATAATAATAATAATAATAATAATAATAATAATAATAATAATAATAATAATAATAATAATAATAATAATAATAATAATAATAATAATAATAATAATAATAATAATAATAATGATAATAATAATAATAATAATAATAATATCGATAAGAAGAATAGCAATAATAAAAAGAATGTTGATATTAATAATAATAATAATAACAATAACAATAATAATAATAATAATAATAATAATAATAATAATAATATCGATAAGAAGAAGAATAGCAATAATAAAAAGAATGTTGATATCAATAATAATAATAATAATAATAATATCGATAAGAAGAAGAATAGCAATAATAAAAAGAATGTTGATATCAATAATAATAATAATAATAATAATAATAATAATATCGATAAGAAGAAGAATAGCAATAATAAAAAGAATGTTGATATCAATAATAATAATAATAATAATAATAATAATAATAATAATAATAATAATAATAATAATAATAATAATAATAATAATAATAATAATAATAATAATAATAATAATAATAATAATAATAATAATAATAATAATAATAATAATATCGATAAGAAGAATAGCAATAATAAAAAGAATGTTGATATCAATAATAATAATAATAATAATAATAATAATAATAATAATAATATCGATAAGAAGAATAGCAATAATAAAAAGAATGTTGATATCAATAATAATAATAATATCGAAAGCGAGATTTTCGAAAAATTTATTGTCGTTTTGTCGCCTCATTTTACCAAAAATAATCTCTCTTCTTTGCTAAGCATTTCAGAGAGAGAGAGAGAATCAGAAAATAAGGTGAACAATTAAAATCACACACTGATTACAGAGATTCGATGAAGACTATCATTCTCATTTCAAACAACGGGAACTACTTACGTCTTCCCCTACCAAGGTAAAGGTTGGTTAGAGGAGGGAAAGGGAGGGGCGGAGGGCGTGTCTTTTTCGGTCACGAGTATAAAAGCCAACAACTCGATGTCCTGAGTATCACACTCGATCTACCTCCACCATCATGTTCACCAAGGTGAGAATCTCTTATCCTTTTCATAGTGCATAATGTTTACCGCCAAAAGGCTAATATAATAGTTTTTCACACACATACACATGCATGTACTATATTACGTTAGTAATTCTTTTCAAAACTTTAAAATTTGTGTCTAATTTCAGGCCGTCGTCACTCTCGCCCTTGTGGCCGTTACTTTGGCTGCTCCTTCACAGCCTTCCTACGGTTATGCTCCTCCCGCAACCTACGACGTAAGAAAAACTTTCCTATACTGGAAATCTTATACATATATTTCATCAAAATACACATCGTTGTTAATGTTCTTATATGATACATATTATTTTCACCTTTCTTTAGGCTCCTGCCAAGTATGACTTCAACTATGCAGTGAAGGACGACTACTCCGGCAACGACTTCGGTCACCAGGAGGCCCGTGATGGCTACGATACTCAGGGTTCTTACTACGTTCTCCTTCCCGACGGTCGTCTGCAGAAGGTCGCCTACACTGTCAACGGCGACTCTGGCTACGTGGCCGAGGTCAGCTACGAGGGTGAGGCCCAGTACCCCGAGTACAAGCCTGCTCCTGCCTATAAGCCCGCCCCCGCTTACAACCCTGCTCCTGCCTACAAGCCCGCCCCCGCTTACAACCCTGCTCCTGTCTATGCTTAAATGAAACAAACATGAATATCCTTATGGTTACTATTTATTGATTAAACGAAAATTCTATCACCATTCATTTGTATTATCTAACCTAAAATATTGCGAGGTTACATATATAAGCTAAACAGCAAACCATTTCAAATATTTACAGTTGTGAAGTTATATTCAGTCTCCAACATCGACCCGTACTTGAGCACAAGGAATGGGCGATTTTCTGACCTGCCCTTGACACTGCAAATCCAGTTAGCTCGTCATTTAGAAAAAGGAAAATAGGTACAGGCAGACATAGTTTAAAATGTCTTCTGAAATCTTAAATATATAAATTGCTGCTAAATGTGACTAGAGGCTTCTAAGTGAAAGCAAAAGCGAAAAAATGTAAAACTCATCATAGCACAAACATCTGTACGTACAGGTGTGAACATAATGATTCCCATATTGGTTCCGTTTCCCAACGCACTAACAAATATTGTGGATTGTTTGAAGTAATTCCCAAAGTTGTTTAAAACAATAGCTATATACAGATTACCATAGCTATCCTCATTGAGATGTGTGCACGAAGAAACAACCATGGACTTAAGTTACGTACGTTCCTAAGCGACTTTCCGCCGGCAAGTTCGTCTCCGCGTGTATTTTGCCATTTCGCTCTTCGACACACACGTCACTTATGCGAAATTTCATTTTTAGCATTATCGTTATTATTATCATGATCATCAACATCATTGAGCAGCATTCATTCCATTATTTCAACCACCTCACTCCCATTCACGGATATGTCATTGGTAAGTCATTGTCATTCTTATTATTATCATATTATTATTATGATAATTATAGCATCAGTAACGATGTTACTGATAAGAATGACTATAATAATAGTAATAATGATAATAAAAATTATAACAATAATAATAATAATAATAATAATAATAATATCGATAAGAAGAAGAATAGCAATAATAAAAAGAATGTTGATATCAATAATAATAATAATAACAATAAGAATAATAACACTTATAATAACAATATTGATGTTAATCAGAAGAATAACATTTATATAAATAATGATAAAGAGAACCATGGTGTATGAATTAAACCATTATTATCTCTAGAATAAAAGAAATATAAAAAATAAGTCCCTGTTCTGAGCACAGCCAGCAATATTGGAGCCACGCCTCAGCATGCCAGAGAATCAGAGAATGCCCACTGATCTCTTCGTTTACAGTAACTAAAACATAGAACACACACACACACATCTAATCCGGCTTCAGATTTTGGCGCGTACAAACAATAGGTTGCTCGATCCAGTCTTTTTTTTCTTTTTCTTTTTTTTAGATCAGTGCCGTTGCCGTGTAAGGAATCGAAACGTTCGGGAGCATCAGAGCTCGAGTGCGCCGCTGTTCGAAGATTGTTAAAGTACGGCCCTTGTTCGCTGCTGCAGAAGCATGAGGTCAGTGTTTATTGTTGACATAAGAAATCATTACTGGTGTTCCGTATAGCAGAGCAATTTTGGTAATCTGACACCTTGAGAACGGTAAAGATCGACTCAGAACATAGTACACGCTATTAGGAATGTTTTTGGAAGTAATTCTTAAGAATAGGAACGAAATTTATAGATAATATTAGCGGAAGAGAAGGCTGTTACGTTGCCACTCGAAAGCGAGATTTTCGAAAAATTTATTGTCGTTTTGTCGCCTCATTTTACCAAAAATAATCTTTCTCTTCTTTGCTAAGCATTTCAGAGAGAGAGAGAGAGAGAGAAAACTCGCGCAAATTCTTTTGGAGGCAAACAACGTAATAAGGGTCAGAGGCTTTGGTTTAGTGGAAACCGTTAAGACGCATTGTATTTCGAGATCAAAGGTTACATTATTTGCGTTATCTGATGATAAACGGTTTACACAGGTAATGAAACAATCGAGTTACTATCTCGTTAAAGAGGAAATAAATGCTAGTTCGGGCGGTGTAATTGGTCCATTTCTCCCCGATAATCCTCTGTTACTATAACGTCCCGTAAAATCATGTAATTAGGCCCCATGCAGAGGAGGCCATTAACCTCCCACCCACGCGCCGGTCACTTCCGCCTCTAATTCAATCCTTGATGTCCTGCCACTCAATGCCAGCCTTTCTCTAATTATCGTTAACTGTTAAGCATGTCTGGTTTGACGAGTTCCCCCCTGAGGCATTCGGAATATAGTGGGCGTTTTGTTTAACTGTGCAGACATACCAGTAAACAAAATCTGTGTGCTTATAGTATTAAACTTGGGTCTTTTATTAGGTGCCAGGAGCTTTTATGCATTACAGGTAGCCATGGCCAGACTTGTATGTGGAAAACTTTATAGTTGTAGAAAACACCTAAACGAGAAAAACATAGAAAGCGCGAGTTTATCCGAATACTTTAGTATATTTAGTATCACCAACTATGAAAATATTTTGAGGACTATTACGTGTATATCTAAATAGTTAGGAAACAACAATGACTAGGATACAAAGGAGAAAGAAAAATTAATAAAGAAATTCACTTATCTGTACATTCAGTGTGTCAAAGAATAAGAATAAAACTCATGGAAATAGTAACGACGGATAATCACTAACTGCTGCGTCGGGTATATGAGTTACATCACATGCAATGTCAACTTTTATATACATTATGATCGCAAGGCGAAGGGCAGAGAGAGAGAGAGGGGTGCGTGTGTGTGTGTGTGTGTGTGTCCATTTACATATCAAGGTAGTTTTTTACCATCATTTCATGGCTGGTTAATGTATGTATGCAGGATATGCATTGGTAAATGTACGTGTATGCGATAGATAGAACGACATAATATCATATTTGGCAATTGTGCTTGTTTACAGTCAAGCAGTAATTACAGTTCGAAGCCTTTCCACTTTCCTTTCCTTCCCTCACTTCCTGTCCCTCCCTTACAGAACTGTATATTGCTGCAGTTTATAGCCCTTGTTTCTCTTTAGAGCCCTTCCTTATGTCCCATAAGTCACAGTAATGCATTTCAGTTTCATGGCGATTATCTTTTTGCAAGCTGAGAATAACACTTCTATGGCTGTTACAGATGTGAAATGATGACAAAACGGGACAAAGTGACAATTTATTTTAGTCACTGTTATGAGAATCATAGAAAACGATAATGTTATTTTTAGGTTTCCATTCTTTATTATGAATAGGGCTAACTATATCAAAATGCTCACTCATTTATTTGTAGCTTGTGACTTATATTATCGGTATTTGTTTGCAATATATTTGATAATTTCCATAATCTTGTTCATTTGATAAACTAAACGCTATGTTATTTATGACTGCTTTTTTAAACAAACTGTATTGTAGTAGGGCATTTCAGTAACGTAATTGGCAGTGGTAAAACGAATCTAATGTTTAACGCCACTTCACACACACACTCGTACCTAAACAAGCAAACAAGCACCATGCACTGTAGTCATTAATAGTTCATTCTGATTCTAGCAATCCACGTGTAATGATCTGTAAACTGTTATTCTCTCTCTCTCTCTCTCTCTCTCTCTCTCTCTCTCTCTCTCTCTCTCTCTCTCTCTCTCTCTCTCTCTCTCTCTCTCTCTCTCTCTCTCTCCCTCCCTTCCTCCTTCCCTCCCCCCCCTCCCTCCCTCCCTCACTCACTCACTCTCCCTCTCCAGCCCCCCCCCCTCTCTCTCTCTCTCTCTCTCTCTCTCTCTCTCTCTCTATATATATATATATATATATATATATATATATATATATATATATATATATATTTATATATATGTATATATTTATATATATATATATATATATATATATATATATATATATATATATATATGTATCTCTCTCTCTCTCTCTCTCTCTCTCTCTCTCTCTCTCTATATATATATATATATATATATATATATATATATATATATATATATATATATATATATATATATAGTGTGTGTGTGTGTGTGTGTGTGTGTGTGTGTGTGTGTGTGTGTGTGTGTGTGTGTCCCTCCATCCCTCCCTCCCTCATTCACTCACTCACTCTCTCTCTCTCTCTCTATCTATCTATATATCTATATATACATCTCTATAACCGCCACACACCCACGCTCTCTTTATTTCTATCCTTTTATTCTTTTGATCATCCTTTTCTCTTTTTTTCTGTCCGTTTCAACATGCGGAGTATGGGGTTGTCTTGCCGCGACAAAACATAAACCTCAACCATTTTATTAAGAGGAGAGGGTCACATTTGCAGAAAAAATCAAGAATTGTCTTATATCGGAAAAAATAGACGGTGTGCGTATCAAATTGCTTTTTAAATACTAGTAAAAGTAGAATGTTGTGATAAAGTTATCAGAAGGCTAATCTGAATACAGTACTACAAGGGTATCTCTTTTTCTTCCTCTTTTTCTTATTCTTCATCTTTCTTTCTTTATATCCTCCTTTTAAGAATATATTATATGACACTAATGTAATGTGTACTCATATAAAAGTTTTATTTTATCATATTGCATTAAGTCACATAGTTTCATCCATGTAACATTATACCAAATTATTTTATGCGTTATCATAATGACCTTGATGTCTACCTCATTTATTTGTTTTAAATATTAACTATTGATATATAATACCATATCCTGTTACTGTATTTTGCAATGTACTGTCATACATTTTAGTTTTTTTCGTGATTTTGTTTTCTTTTTCTACAGCCTGTTTCTAAATCAGCTAACAGACTGCATTTTAGCTGAAGACCATGTGCCTAGCTAAATATATTGATATTGCAAATGTAAATCCTTTGGATATCTGTAACATGACGTGTTGTTATAAATCGCTAAACAATCTGTGAACTAGAATATCACTCTATAAATATGTTAACTTTAAGAAATGAGCATTGAGAATTCAGCATTGCTTGAATCCTCAGGAATTAAGAGAAAGATAGATAAAAGAGAGAGAGTGTGTGTGTGTGCGAGCGTGCGTGCCTGTGTGTGTGTATGTGTGTGTTGTGTGTGTGTGTGTGTGTGTGTGTGTGCGTGTG